AATATACATATCGTTATAAAGTAATTTATGCTTTTTGATTAAGACCTGAATATCGAACTCACAGGAAAATTATGCAATATGCTCTATTAAACAAAAAATTTTCTATTTTAAAAAGACAATTACTTAAACTAAAGATGTATTCACAGTAATTAAAATTCAAATCCTTTTGGTATTTTTGATATTTTGACAAAATAATAACAATTTAAAAAGGTAACTTTGAGTTTATGTAAAAGAAAAACACTAAATTTGAAAGTATCTCTCTAAGCATAGGAATTCTGTTGCGGTAGTATGCAAATTGTGTTGTGCCAAATATGAGCAATTATATTCTTTACCCTTACTAGAGATGCTATATAAAGAACATTGGCTAATTTAAAGTTTGAATAGTTCTGAACACCAGCTAGGCTGAGAAGATACCAGCTCTCACTCTAGAGTTCCCTCGATTCCCTTCACCTGGGGGCTAACATCTCGTATCAAAACCTAAAATAATCAGGGGCTTTAACTTGTCACTTTAAAGTCCTCTAACTCTATACCCTTCAAAGATTATTTTTCTATTTATTTGCACTAAATCATATGAATTAAATTCTCATTCATACAACTTCATATGATTCTTTCCAATTGTTGACTGAGACAATACCCCGGTTCTTACATATTCTCACAACAAATTTTAACATCTGGATAGGCCAAATCAAGAAATAAATGAATTTAAATCATCACAACTTCTTCTAACGTTAAAGATCAATACTCTCCACAACTTCCATCCAACACTTTAATTACTTATCATTTTAAGGAGAAAGATAAAAAAAAACTACTCAGAATTCATGGAGAAACTACTCAAAGATAAAAAAAAACTACTCAGAATTCATGGAGAAAACAAAACGACAGTTTAGCTTAAAAGTAGAATTCATTGTCAAACAAAGAAGAAATGTCAATTAAAACTAGAAGTAGTTCAAAACAGAAGATAAAAACTTATCTCATATCCTTCACCAAACTCTTGAAGTTCTTTTGAATCTCTTCTCTTTTACAACACTCTCAAAATAAACTAAAAACAAAAAGGATAAAGTAAATTTATGGTGCCTGAAAATCTCTCTAACACTCTCTCCTTTCCAACATTTTTCAGAACTTTCAAACACACTTTAAAAAGTTTCAACTTCCTTCTTTCATAAATTTCCAAGAGGTGTCTTGATAAATCTTTAAAATGTGTCCCAAATCGATGTATTCTCCAAAGGATGCCTCCTTTCATAAGTCTTTTAATAATATTTTTGTTTCTAGTGGTCATAACCATCCTCTTTAGCCAATAGGTGCCTCAGATACCTCTTCAAAATTTGACAAAATGAAGAAAACCGTCAAATAACTGCCTCAAGCGCTTAAGCGCGGGGCCTTTGGCTCTTAGGCGCGGCCTTTTCTGTTTATCTGTTTAACCGACACTTAAGCGCTGGATCTGGCGCTTAGCCGCTAAACCCCTTTAGCAAACTTTACTTCTCTTCATCTCTTTGCTCCAAATTTGATCCGTTTTCACTCATTTTAGCATTTTTCACCTTTTTACTTGTACCTGAAAGAAAAACACACAAATACCTTTTATTAAAGCGTAATATCTCAAAATTAGGTATAAAAATGCGTCTAAAAATACTATATTTTTTTAGGTCTATCAGTCAGCTATGATGACTTTGTAGTTCGCGGGAGCCAAAGTCGAGAGCTGTATGAGCTGCGAACCACATATGCTATAGTTGGTCAGATATGTCATAACAATAAGTTTTGATGACGTATGTAGGCCACAATGGTCGAAGTTTTGAGTTGCATGAGCTGTGCATCACGTACACCGTAGGTAATCTTGTATTCCATAGTGGTGTGTCGTGATGGCGTATGTATGCGGTATGGACTGAAGTCGGAAGTTGCATGGAGCGTGCTTTATGAGATTGGAGAAAGTCATTGTCTTTAGAATGTTTTGTTATGCCGTCTTCGGGAGGTGTTGTTACACCATAAGTGGCATGCGTTGTTAATTTACATTGTATGTTGGGGTTCTGTAGTGCATTTTGTGACTTCACTAGGGACATTGTCGCATGGAGTAGACGATGATAGATGATCGTCGATGGTGGCTAATGATGGTGGATGTCGAAGGCAGCGACGACGAGAATTGGAGGTGGCGACAACAATGGGAGTTGGTCGGAGGGCAATGGTTGCCAGAGTAGCTGAAGTTTGTTGGTGATGGTGGCGATTGTTGGAGTTAGACGAAGGTGGCATCATTCGTAGTAGGCCGGAAGAGATGGTGGTAGGAGTTGTGCAGAGGGCGAAGACAAGAGTTGGTCGTAGGCTGTGGTCAGAGTTGGGCAAAGGCAAAAGTGGTCGTTGTCGGAGGCGGTGGCGACAACCGGAGTTGGCCTACGATGGCAGGAGTTAGCGGGCGACTTTGGCCGGTGGCTCGAAGAGTGAGGTCGATGTTGATCAACATTGGTTGATATTTTTTATTTGAGATGATACATTGCATTCTTTGTCATATTAAATCACAAAAATGTATTTCTAAAACTCTTTTGTTTAATTGATCTATAAACTTCTGTTAGGATTTGTAATTTATGAAATCTAACTTCATGACTCAAAATTCATAAAATTAAATGACCAAGATCTTTGAATTTATGATTTTTCATATACCTATAAATGAGATATACGTACTTGTATTCATGATCATAGAATTCAATTTTAAGAGATAAAATTTCTCTCTATAATCCTTATTTACTTCTGTACTTTTCGATGAAGAGAAAAGATACATTTCTTCTTGGGAGAGAGATGCCCCTTCTCTTATTTATAAGGGAAAAGATAAGTGTCTTGAGAAGAGACACAACCTTTCTCTTAATTATCCATTATTAACCACCATCCATCATGGTGATTATTAACCGATATAATTTAAGATAATTTAATTAATTAATTAAAGCGAAATGATACAGTGTCTATTGAGAAGAGACATGACCCTTCATTTAGGACAATGTAATTAATTAACTAAAGTGAAATGATACATTGTTTATTGAAAAAAGACAAAACCTTTTTTTTAATTAATTAATTAATTACTATTAAAATAAATAACAGTGTACCACATAAATAAAATAATAAAAACTAACAACTTGTAATGGTCTCCTTGGCCTAATATTTGACCAAGTTCAAATCGTAATAATTTATCTCACCCTAAGCCCATCTCTAGCTTGATTTGACCCAAAAATCATATAAAGAGTGTAGTTTCTTTCTTCGATCCTAAAATGACTTATTGTACACGGTCCCCACAACCAGGATGGTTCTTAAAAAAAAGGATTAGTTAAGAGATTCTTATTATCGTATCTTTCCATCAATAATTACTTTTGTTCGCTTGCGGACCTTGTTTTTATATACATCATATAGCATCCAAAGCTGAGTCTATACGTGCTTACTAATCTATTTTTACTCTGTTTTCACGTGCACTTCTATTACTAGATAATATAGTCTTTTGCATGCGTGTGGGTGGTGAAATGACCCAAGTCTTGTTTTATTTGTTTTTCTTTTCGTATTGTCTTACTATAATGTCATTCTTAATACATCATAAGTTTAATATATTGAAATTATGGATGTCATTTTTTTCATTTTCGAAATAAGATTTGACTTTATATGACACAAAGCACTATTCGATGGTGGAAACAGCTAGCGCTTTGGTTTTGGTCTTCCCATGCTTCTTCCTGCTTCGGCTAATTTTATAATTGGATGGCGGAGTGCATGAAACATCTCTTGTCCATTAATATATGGAGAAAATATTACATCAAGAGTTCTGATGCAGTTTTATTTATGGATGATATTATTTATGTGTTATTGGTAGTATTGTGGTGTTATTTTACTAAAATAATACTACAATACTACTAATAACACCTCCAATAACACCATTCACATCTAATTCAGATGTAGATTATTTAGATATAATATTTTTTCAAATACAAGAAGGAGGCAATTTGATCTGAATTTGAAGATATATTTATCAGAGAAAATAAATAGTGAACATATTTATATAATAATAATAATAATTATGAGGTAAATAGTATCAAATTTAAGTTTTAAAAATGAAGCACTTTTGAAATTTTATAATTATTTAAGTTTATTGATATATTTTAATGAGATGAGAGATTAGATGTTGTATTAAATTCTGTCTCTTTCTACAACACCGTCTCTCTTAAGACTTAAATCCAGATTTAATAAATTCGACTGAGAGGCGAATTTAAAGGATTTAATATGCCGTTGCTTAAGGCCTCCATCTTCATCATTTGCTCACCAGACTTACTAGATCCTATTTAATGTAAATACAAGTTGTAACGAAACACCACTTAAGCTTAGTTAAGATTAAACTAATTATTAGTTGATGGATTTTGTATAATACCATAAACACAGAATGTGTAGTTGAGCTTTGTCAAAATCATCATATCAAACATGCACAACCCTACTAGTTAGTCCCCAGCTATTTCTAAAATTTGGGACCAGGATTAGTTTGTGCTTGGTTTGGGCTAGCACATCTGCATGTGCTAGCATAAACCAAATAAATTCTAAGCTTTATCTGAGTATGAACGCAGGTCTGGCTAATGATGCCTTAGGAGTTATTTACACTATTTATCACCTTCCCTAATTTTCATTTTTACACACATAACACTCAAATCTTCATTATCACATCAAAAATAACACTATTATCACTTTTTTAAAATAATATATATTTTTTCACGTATATATTTAAAACACCAAAATATTATATTTGAAAATAACGTCTCTTTTAGAGCCAGCTATAGTTTACTAAAAAAACAGCTATCAAGTCATTTAAAAATAATATGATGTTTAAAAAAATGTGGTGACTATTATATATATATATTAGTAAAAGTCAGCCCGTAACTAGAATGCTGCCACCGCATAGTTAGGACCGGTTAGAAACACATATTTCAGCATCAATTTTTTAAAAAATTGTCAATAAAATTTATCCAAACAGACAAAATTACGATGCGGTGTGGAGCTATACTGCTGCATCAAAACTTAGGTGTAAGATATAAATACACAAGAATTGTATTTCCCATTTTTTTTAAATATTGCCGCACGCATACAAAAGCTGGGGTCTGGCGGGAGAGCCCACCAACATAAAGTACGGGCGGCGTTGTTGAAAATTAAAGGGCGTTTCTCATTTCTAAAATTACCTCCCCGCCCCGCACTTTGACCATTGACTCACCCGGTCCACCCCACGCCTCCACTTCAAAAGGCGCTCTCCCCAGAGCTAAACATGGAGTGAGCAGTAGAACGAAGAAGCTTCCAGTCCAGAACCACAATGAGGAACCGACATCGATCAGATACCAGCATCGCGCAAGCCAGAGGAAGCCCTCACCTTCTCCCCCTCGAGGTCAGCAAAATGGCTCCCCCACCCTGCTTCTTCCGTTGCCCCATCTCCCTAGAGGTTATGCTATCGCCGGTAAGCCTCTGCACCGGCGTCACCTACGACCGCTCCTCCATCCAGCGCTGGCTCGATTCCGGCAACATCACTTGCCCCGCCACCATGCAGCCCCTTTCATCCACCGATCTGATCCCCAACCTCACCCTCCGCCGTCTCATCCACCTCTGGTCCTGCATCCTCTCCGATCCCACCGCAGATAACGCATACAAGCGCCACATCCTTTCCTCCGACGCCTTCCGACCCGCCGCTCTCGCTTCCCTCTTACACGCCCCTGAAAGCCCCGAGATCGCCGTCACCCTCATCTCCCTACTCATCAGCCACGATCTTCTCGACGCAGACCGTAAACGAGAGTTGATCGCCGCTCTGTTGTCAGATCTCGACGCTGCAGTCTCCAGTCTTTGTGCAGTTTTCAAGGTAACCGACTATTTGCCTTCTCGGATCGCCGCCGCTAGGGTTTTGGAAATCTTGATTGCGGAGGAGAAGACGTTGGTTGCGGGTAAGCCGCAATTAATGACGGAGCTACTGAGGTTAATTGGAGAAAGAGATGGGGAAGCGGTGGATGCGGGATTGCGATGCTTGATGGGAGTTATTGAAGCGGGGAGGAGGGTGATAGCGGAGATGGTGAGAATGGGGGGAGTATCTGCGCTTACGAGTGTGTTGGAGAGAGATGGGGTTGAGATCCCGATGGAGGCGGTAGAGAGGTCGATACGGGTTATGGAGGCGGCGGTGGGGACTGTCGAGGGGAGGGCCTCGTTCCGCGCGGAGGCAGAGAGGTGCGTGGCGGCGGTAGTGGGGAGGATGACGAAGGTAGGCTATGAGGGGAGGGAGGGTGCTGTGGTGGTGCTATGGAGAGTTTGCTGTGCCGGCGGGGGGGGTCGGCGGGCGAGGAAGGCCGCCGGTGTGGCGAAAGGGGGATTCGGCGGGAGAGGATGGCCGCCGGTGTGGCGAAAGGGGGATTAGCGAAAGTATTGATGGTGATGCAGGGGGATTGCTCGCCGTTGGTGAGGAGGATGGCCGGCGATTTGCTTAGGGTTTTCCGGGGGGTTTCTAAGGGCTCGATTGCGGCTGCGGGATATGATTCACAGACGATGCACATTACGCCGTATTGAAACTAAAATTGGAATGAGTTCTAACTTCTAACCATGTAGAAATGTGATCAAAGAAAATGAGAATAATATATTTGAAAAATTAATAATTGTTTGATCGTTGAGTTGTGCATTATTATATTTATTTATTTATTTATTTTTAATTTTAAGGCAACAAGTTCAGCTTGCAATAATATTTACTTTATGGACCATATGAAAAATTGAATTTATACTTTAAATTTAAATTAAAGTAATTATAATATTTTATCTTTTTATTCATTTCCAATTTTTTAAAATAAAGTTGATGACTTTACACATTTACATTTACATATGATATAGTAATTGAAGATGTAATTCAAATATTTTTATTCAAATTCTAGTAGGCTTAAACAAAACATTCAAGATGTAATCAAGATATGAACTCGTTTGAAGAGAGAATTGATCTTCAAATCTTCTATGCTTAAGGATAAAATGTGTGAACCAATATGAGGATTGTAATGAGCCCAAATCACACAATTTTAATGCTATAAAGTCACATAGAAATTTAAATAATAGTCTATAATAGGAGTAATTATTGATTGCACAACAAACTATTTTAGGATTGTAGCTGAAAAAATCAAAATATCACTCTAAAAAATATAAATAGAGCCATATTCTATATATGAAGGAGACTTAAAATTGAAGAGAATAAAGATTTGAGTAATGTATGAGATTTATATGATGATTGACGACAATAATCATCGTTGAAGATTAATATCTCCCATTTATTATCTCTTAATCTTCAATGTTTAAAAATTATCTCGGTTGTCTTTTTCTTAGGAAAAACACAAACTTTAAGATTTTATGTTGTAGGGTTTTACTTTTTCTTTTTAATTTCTCTAGTAAAATTGTAGTTTTTTATTTAATGACAGAGGCTTTTGATGAAGACTAGGGCACTATGAGTGTAGGAGTCAGTCTGAATTGACTTCAATAAGTGCACCTTAGAAAGCTGCTTGGGTTAATTCTTTATTGCAACAATCTACGCATCTCATGCTAAGCTTTCTTAAGAAATTTTTTTCTTTCAGAAATGTGTCATGTTGAGAGAACATCAGGAGATCTTGGAAATGTTATATAGCCTATATAGGATAAGGCAAAAAATTCTAAGTCATCCTTTAAGAAAGTTCATTAGATGCTCATGGCCCTACACTGAACTCGCTAAGGGTTCAATTAAAGTAGGAATTTTATCAACAAAAAAAAAATGATTTAAATGATTTCAATTAAGCTTTTTTTTTTCTTTATTGTAAGATTTTATTATGACAGAGACGTCCTTGTCCCGCTGGAGAGAAATGGTTACGACGTCTTTCAAATTTCAACGTCGATGTGAATGGATTTATTGTAAGAAGTGGGCCGCAGTTAATGACGATCGTTGAAGGTCGACAGGTGGTGGTCGACGACGATCGATGATGGTCAACTGTGGTCGGCCGTCGGCGGCGATTGACGGTGGTAGGAGTGGTGTTGGACTTCATCTCATTCTCAAAGTTTTATGTTCTTTCTCAAGCCTCAAACTCTCCTCCCTTTATGAGAGCGGTGATATTTTATTTATAGTGTTCTAGGCTTAATTAATGTATGAATATGAACCACTTTGATAGAACGGTCCGAAGAGTTTCCTTTGATCAAACGATATTTGATGGACATTTGAGTACCATAATAATGTCAGAATTGATCAAATTTGGGCTCGCTGGATTCGTCTTGTTGAGACGCTCGATTCGACTATGAAATAACTGCATTCGAGATTTGTTTAACCTTCCAATTGTGTTCGGAAAACTATCAAATATGGTTTAATGTCTTGATTGGGGTTTTATTTGACTAGGATTAGACCAATTTTGATATAAATAGACCAATCTCTAATCTCCAAAATCTATTAAACTACAAGAAGCATTACTGATAGGACTGAAAACACATGTCTATATGATACATCTTACAATATGTCAAAATTAGTCGAACTTAAACAACATTATTTGATGTTTTACATGTAATTAGTTGCATGTTATTGCCCAAAGATCTTAATCCATTAAACACTAACAGAGTTATATTCCCCATAACACTGAGGAATTGAAAATCCCATCTTTCTAAATGATCAATTGTAGCAAACTCAAGAAGCTTTTGTGTTTAAAAGAAATAATTTAAGCATACTTTCAAGCCATCTCTTTATATCATTGATAGAAATTGTTTAAAGATAGCATGATTTTTACTACAAATATAAATGATATATGTACCCATTACATGAATATGAACATTAATTTACTCTTATGCCCACCAATCTAATAAGAATTTACTTTAATATTAAAAGCTTTTAAATACAATTTATATTATAATAATCTTAAAATGAATTTAATAAGTTAAATATTCATTTTAGTCGGAAAAATAACCAACATATCAAAGTGCATTTACGTACATACCACCTAATTTCTGTGCTTTTGCATATCTAACACCTAAACTTTATTTATTACGTTTTTACCAGCAAAAAATCTTTCATGTCATCTAAGAAATATTATCATTTTAAGTTTTAAGATATTAAATACAATTTTTCACATAGAAAAAGTGACATGCATGTAAAGCTTACTGTTATTTTAACTCTCAATTATTGAACTAAGGTAAAAGGACACTTTTGTAATGTTATACCGCTCACCAACCACATCTCACCTACCAATCTCACAACACTTACAATTGCATTAGAGATGTAATTAAATATACAAGAATTGAGTGGTCTATGCATAAATCTTCCCAAGTCAATGCATGTTAACTGTTCGATACACAGGAGGGGCCATGTACCATAGAATAGAATAGACAGGGAGCATTGAGAAAGAAAATGTTTTTTAGAGCAAGGGTTTTTTTATTGAGTCCCAAGTAGGGATGTAAATGAGTCAGACTGTCTCGTTAATTAGCTCGTGATTGAACTCAATGGGCTAAAAAGTCAGGCTCGAACTCGTCCCGACTCTGCCTCGTTAATTAGCTCGTGACTGAACTCAATGGGCTAACAAGTCAAGCTCGAACCCGTCCCGACTCTATTTGTTAGCTCGTGAGCCTGCTAGTTTGATAAAATATAATATAAAATATACTAAGAAAATATTAAATTTGAAGATTTTATTTTTAAAGTTTTAAATTTTTTAAAACTAATATTTTATATTTTATATTAATTGATTTCTTATTATTTTTCTTCTAATTGTTCATTTTTTTTTTTGAAAGAGCCTTAAATAAATATTATTTTTCTCTTCATTATATTAAACAAGCCGGTTCGAGAGCTAACTTGAAATCATAGACTTAAGAATTGTTTGGGGCAGCTGTAGTTTATTGAATAATCTGCTGATAAGCCGATTAAAATAATATGTTGATACACTAGGTGCGGTGGCTATTACAAATTTTTATTTTTTTTTGGAAAAGCCAGATTGTTACCAATAAGCTGCCACCGCACCTAGATAAGTGCGGTGTGAAAATACTGTTTTCTGCATTTTGAAAACGCATAAGCTGTCAAAACACAGTTTACCCAAACAGACCATGTGCGTTTTCAAAACGCCACCGCATAATATAAGCTGCCCCAAACGGGCCCTTAAGCTCGAGCTCGAGCTCAAACTCGATAAAATTAATCAAGCTCAAGCTCAAACTAAGGGTGGCTCGAGCTCGACTCAATTCGTTTACACCCCTAATCTAAGAGAGCTCTCTTTGATCCCCTCACTCTGCATCCACACAATGAAATATAAGAAATTATACAATATATCAAGTAAAATGTTACATCTATTCATAATGTCTTGATGAAAAAATGACATTATGGATGTCAGGAGGCGTCATTATTATAGATAAGTGTATGTATTTTAAGGTAGTGATGGTCCTCTTCGATACTTTGTTTGCCCCCGGTCTAGTTGACCATTCAAGAGGAGGGTTTGGTTCAACCCCTTTGAGAGGTGGGCGAGTCTCCACGTGGAATATATATACATACACACACATGTATACATACATAAGCCGAGATCTTGGGTGGGATTTGCATCAGAAACTGTTCATGAATATGACAATTTAAATGTGGGGAAAGAAGAGAACAAAATAAAAGATAACTTTGACCGGGAAAGCTGATGCTGTTTCCTCAGTATTAATTAAAGTCTTGTTGACTTACTATATATAATAAAAAATTAAGAAAACAATTTAGCCACATACGCTTTTTAATTTACATATGTCATATAATCCTACATAAATCATTAATTAACATAATTATTCATGAACTATTTATATGAATAATTTGCTTAAATTATTCATATAATAAATTAAGCTTAGCCGGAGATTGCAATCTACGAATGAAATAAAAAAAAACATATCCGATAAAAATTGTTTAATCCGGTAAAATTAGTCTAATCAAATTTACATATCCCTGTTTACATAAAATTAATGCATGTCATTCAATTATATATATATATATATATATATATATATAGACACACACACACGATAGATCGCAATATTTAAGTATTTATATGTCTAACAACTACGCCCGGTTGGGATTAATTTTCTGTTTTTTATTTAAAAAAAAAAACAAACCTAAAAATAATAGTTGTTTATTCTTTTTTTTTTAATTTTTTTAATTTTATTTTTAAGACATAAAAGACTTCTTTTTAAAACATCAAAATTAAAAAAACACAGAAATTGTTTTTAAAATATATTTTTCGGAGAATTAGATGTGCGAGGTTCGCCGCCTGGTGTCTGTCGTAGCACGCCGGCTGTCCGCAGCTGCCCTCTGCCACTGCGGGGTCTGTCCATAGGTAATACTTTGTGTTGGGTGGAACAAAGAAGACTATAAAAAATAGGAATCAAAACTTAATACAGGAGGTCACGTGAATCCAATCTTTTTTAAACACATAAAAATAAAAAAAAAACAGAAAGTGATCCTAAACATGCCCCTAGACATTTACCTGCATACCGCCAATTTCCTATGTATTTGCATATCCTAGAAGCTCCTAATAACCCACAACCAATTAGTCCAAACCAACTAGATCCATTTACTATCAAATACGTAATAAACTCAGCCATATAGCTCCACAG